TTTACGTGTGGGGCAACCCCAGGGGGGGAAATTTCGCCTGGATGTTGTGGGAATTTAAAGAAAAAAGGGGAGCATTTCGCCTTTCACCCCCAGGACCTCTTTTTTAAAAATTATATTTTAATAAATAAATAAATAAAGTCTTCAGTCTTTCCTGCTCTGTTTTTGTTTTGTTTCGTTGGGTTTTTTTTTTTTTTTTTTTTTTTTTGCATGCTGTAATATCATGGCTCTACCCCAACTATTTCTTACCTTGGTAAGTTTGCAATATTTTCCTTTAGACACGCTGCAAATCCTGCTGTGAACAGCAGCACCCCCCCAAATATGGCTGTTTGACAGTCATGGAAATGACCCCCCCCATTTACTCAAACAAGCAGTTAATCTGCAAGGATGGAATGGGAGGGAGATAAAACAGATGTCTGCAGAAGCTATTTCAGAGATATAATAAGGAAACCAAATCTTGACCGCAAAGTTGAAAGTTAAATTTGCTTTGCGAGGGAAAACGTGACACAGGTAATCCTTGACTTATGACTACAGCTGGGACCAAGATTTCCATTGCTCAGTGAGTGGCAGCTGACTTCACCATCTTTTTGGCCACAGTTGTTAAATGAATCACAGCAATTAAGGGGACCGTGTGGTCGTTAAGTGAATCTGGCCTCCCATTGGCTTTGCTTGTTGGAAGCATCTGGAAAGCTTGCACGTGGGATCATTCCCCCCCCCCAAGATACTACAATTGTCATAAATACGTATCAGTTGCCAAGCTGCCAAATTTTAATCACGTGACTATGGGGAAGCTGCAACAGGTGTAAGTGTGAAGCCTGTGTGTTAGCTCCTTTTTTTCAAGGCCATTGTAAATCTGCATTTCTTTTGGAGCAGGTGACCAAGACTTGCTTCATGAAGTCTATTTGGTCAACAAGACATACTATGGGAATGCATTCATTGTGATTTATCCGAAACAACATAGCCCAACCACTAACGCTGGAAGAAAGCATCCATCTAGCTTTGACGCTAGGTGTGATTCAGACTGGAGGATAATTTAGCAGGACCAAGGAGAAGGGCCTTGTTCCATGGTGGCTCCCTCCCTTTGGAACATCGTCCCCGTGGAGATAACACTGGCCCCACTTTGATTCTCTTTCGCAAGGCCCTGAAGACCTGGTTTTGTCAACTGGCTTGGAGACCCCAGAATGGGATGGAGCCCTTCTATTGACCACTTGATTTTTGTTTCCAAGGGGGTGGGGGTTATTGCTATTTTATTGTTTTTTTTATATCATGTTTTGTCCCTTGTAAGCACCCAAAGCCACTGAGAGTAAATTGGGCAGCCATAAAAATGTTCATAGATGATAGCTAGATAGCTAGACAGAGAGACAGACAGACAGGTAGCTAGATGGTAGCTAGATGGATGATAGATAGATAATCCATCCATATATGGAAAGACATGTTAGAAACAGAGAAAACAGACACTTCTTTACAAAGCCTGTTTTCACAGACACCAGAGAACAAAACCATAGAATCCCGATGGAACGTATTCAATGTTGAGACCATGAAATCCTAATTACCTAAAGACAGCTGCAAGTTCTGATAAAGCAAGCCTATTTTTTTTCCCCCATTCCGTCTCCGTCTCAAACTGTCCATATTCGCAAAAGAATGTAATTTCTTTTACTGGCAGCCAGCTTAATCATTTGGAAAGTTCATTCAACTTTCTAAAAACTGCCCTGGGTGAGGACTTGGAACAAGATAACTCAGCTGAGCATGAGAGTTATCCGTTTTTGGAAGTTCCCTAGTGATTATAATGCCATTATTTTTTTTATGCATATTGTTGCACAGCCAGCAGCATACAGTATATGAATTAGGCAGCAGCTCAGCCTTGAGTTGATTATATTTATTTATTTTTATATTATGTCATATCATATATATTTTACATTCTATTAATAAATAAATTGTTTATGTTTATATTTAAAGCCGGGCAATGAGTGAATGAGCATTGCAGGATAGCAAGGCAAAATAATGTGGCTGTAACTGGGAGATAACGTCTATTTGGATCGTAGACATTCCAGCTAACGAGGTTCCTTCCACTATGTGTGGGGACACTGCAACCATCACAAACACACATTGGTTGCAAATGCCTGGATTTTGATCATGTGACCTCAGGGATGATGCAATAGCCATAAATACGAGAACCGGCTGTAAGTCAGCTTTTTCAGGGTCATTTTAACTTTTTAATGGTTGCTAAACAAATGTCTGTAAATTGTTAAGTTGAGGACTATTATGGTTACAGCTGTAGCTGCAATCTTATTACTTATTAGATCCACTCCCGGATACCCCTGCATGCAGATTTTTACCAGCAGGACTATATGAAAGTGATACAGTCCTCTCCAAGGAAGATGTACAAAATGAGGGAGGGGTCCCTTTGCCCCCATGAGAGATCTAAGTCCAGCCCACCTTGAATTCAGAATAACAGAATTGGAAGGGACCTTGGTGGTCTCCTGTTCCAAACCCCTGCTCAGACAGGAAACTCTAAACTGTTTCAGACAAATGGTTGTCCAATCTCTTCTTTTAAAAACTTCCAGTTTTGGATCACCCACAACTTCTGGAGGCAACTTCCATTCCACTGGTCAATTGTTCTGTCAGGAAATTTCTCCTTAGTTCCAGGTTGCTTCTTTCCTTGATGAGTTTCCACCCATTGCTTCTTCTCCTGCCTTCTGATGCTTTGGAGAATAGCTTGACTCCCTCTTCTTTGACTTTTATCTACTGCCAATTTGCTTTGACTGTTAGTAGTTCAGATGTTTATAGAGAGCTTGAGCTTGCAATAAACTTTTATATTAATTTGAACTGCCTGCCCGCTTCCCGATTTTCCCACGCTGGCCAAAATAAAATATAGCTAAGGACACCACTGTGTCCTTCACCGTATAAATTTTTTATAATCACAAATGCTTAATATTTTATCAGCAACATATTGTCTGGGTTTCCAACATTTAACTTACTAAGACATGTTAAATTCCTTTCTCTCTACTCGTTTTTCTAGCCATTGATAAAAGGTATCCCCTGTTCTAAAATATACTGAATCTTCTTTCTCTTTCATTTTCAAGATCAATCTATCCATTTCTGCAGAATCTAAAAAAATTTTTTTAATTAACTCTTCCTCCATTGGAAAAATGTTGAGCGAATACTATTCTCGCTGCAGTTCATACATGTAAAATTAGATCTATACACTCTTTCTCATAGTTTCCTACAATTATGCCTAACAAAAATAATTCTGGCTTAAAATATCTATATATTTTTAGTGATTTTCTCTAACCATCTGTGTATTCTTGAGCAGAATCTTTTGGCTTTGGGGCATGACCACCAAAGATGGTAATAAGGGCCTGGTTCACCAAGGTGTTTTTAAGACTTTGCCAAGGTAACATGGCAACCTGTCCAGATGTCCCATCAACAGTCATCAATAGGACGGTGGATAAACCAGCCTGATGACATCTGGACACGACACCCTCAGGCTTTGCCTTAGGTTTCCATAAGCATGGACAAGTTGTATATTTCTGGGGTGTCCTCAAAAGCCCATTCAAAAACCCAACAAGCTGATTTTCAAATGCATCCTCTTCACAGCAGCATCGGAGTGAAAAAAACCTGCAGCAGGTCAAATGCTGCCCATCCCAATTTTGTTTTTTTTTCAGGAAGGGGGGAGAAGAAGAGAAGAAGTAAAGGATCTCAGGCAGCCATCCTCACTGTGAGAACCGCTCTATCACGGAATGCAAGAATCTACTCAATCCCCCGAGCATTGCGTGAAATTAGCAAGAAGCCAAAATTTGTAGAATGCACCGTAATATGAGACCCTCCAGGCCTGGCCCAGCCGGGCTCCTGGGAACTGAATTCTTATTTCACACAAGCCGTGCCAGATGTATTGACTTTTCGTTCCAGCCCAGGAAACCAAACAAAGCAATATGCAAGCTTGGTCTCCCAGCTAATTGGGTGAAAGAACCGATAACAAAGACTTAGGTTTATTTTTTTACTAAGGAAATCCTTCTTGAGCCAAAGAGGGCATTTGTTTCATTTTGTCCAGTGTTTTGAGTTGGGTTCCTTAGCCAAGAGAGGGAAGGGGAAGACAAAAGATGTTGGCATGGCTGTAGCCTCACCTAGAACCAACGTTCTCAGCCTTAAGATGTGTGTCCCAAACGTGCTTTTCCAAAAGGCAACTGGAGTTTCTTGTCTTGGGTTTTTTGTTTTGTTTTTTGGAAAGCATTTTGCTTCTCATCCAAGAAGCTTCTTCAGAACTTGGTTTTCAAAGCAAAAACCCAAGGAACTTCAGTTGCCTTTTGGAAAAGCACTTTTGGGATAAGCATGAGTCTGGATGATGGAGAATCTCCACAGATATTTAAGATGTGCGGATTTCAGCTCCCAGAACTGGCCAGCCAGATTTGGAACTGATCTGAGGGGCAGTGAAAAGATCTTATATGGATGTATCCAGAGTTTCCCGTTTCTTTTCCATAATTAGACAGTTTTGAATGAGTCACTGATGTTCCCAGTGATCCACTCTAATGGGAGATCCCAGGATCATTTCCTTCCTCATTCCCTCCTTTCCTTCCTTCCTTTCCTTCCTTCCTTCCTTTTCTTCCATCCTTCTTTCTTCCCTTCCTTCCTTCTTTTCTTCCTTCCCTTCCTTCCTTTCTCTTTCCTTCCTTTCCTTTCTCCTTCCTTTCCTTTTGTTTCCTTCTTTCCTTTCCCTTCCCTTCCTTCTTCCTTCCCCTTCCTTCCTTCCTTCCTTCCTTCCTTCCTTCCTTCCTTCCTTCCCATGTCCCTCCCTCTAACCAAAACCAACGAAGTTTACTACTATAGAATTAGGGGCAATCTCCATATGATTTCAAGTTTCACTTAAGAGAGATTGGTATCTTTCAAAACCTTTGGCCTCCTGTATATTTTTAATGAAGGAATGTGTGAAATGTTAAGGTTTTGTTTTGTTATGTTTTGAGGTCAGCGAAATCAAGTTCAAAGCAACATCACCATTCAACCATAAATATATAAATTCGTTTTTATACAGTTTTTCCTTGGTCACATAGCACATACAGAACACCGAGCGTTACACTCATAGGAACACACCCGCAGATATTTTTAGTAACGTATTTTCCTCTCTCCATATGTCCAGATTTTGAATGAATGGGACTTTGAAGTCTAAGCAATAGTCAACATGAATACTTCCTTTTCATTCAAATTACTTTGTTTAATAAACTTGAGTATCAAAATTTGTTTGATAAACATTAACACCGAGAGAGGGGGGAAAAATAATCATTAAAATCAGCGAGCAAATCCAATGTTGATCAAGAACAAAATCAAGGTAACGTCAGTCATATTGCCATCCACGGAGGGACACAGAGTTCATTTAACACTGGACACATAAAAACACATCCACATCTGAATGCACAAATTGAAAACAGAATCATTCTCTGCCAAAGAAGTCCCTCCATTCAGGCATAGGTGGTGGGACACAGTGGCGATTTCTTTGGAACTGTTTTGGTAAGATTTCATACAACCAACACAATTATAACAAAGCTACGCAAGAACAGGAGGGGAGAAGAAAGAGGGGGAAACAATCAGATGTACAATAACATAACTGAATTCTCTTGCAATGACGTTTGAGGTTTCTACGGGCCTCTGAATATTCTAGGAATTTCAAATCTGAACTCTTTATTTCTAACTCATCTTCATTTATTGCCTTTATCTCTTGATGTTCCTCAAGGGAATCTAAAGGGACATCTCCTTTAATTTTATCCTCACAAGGTAGGCTGGATGGATAGAGAAAGAAAGATGGGGGTCAAAGCCAGACTGTGAGCTTCATGGTTGAGTGAGGACTTCATCCCAGATTCCCAAGACCCAATCAAACCCCGTTAAGTCCCATGCTGCAACTTGTTCTGCTCATTTCTTGGCCTTCTACAGTACAAGAAGGAGTTAGGGAAGGATGGGAGAAGCCTAGAATTCTGATGCTTATGAGATAGGATGTCAACATCTACTGTACAAGGTATTATTCCTGCATCCTGGAACAGTCCAAGCTCCCCTCTGGTTAGCTCCTAGAAACATGATCTCATGGACCATGGACTTCTTCTGTCATCCACCTTACCTTGATGGTAAGCTACCAGCAGAAAAGTTCTTTGCAGGGGTCTTGTTCTGTTCTGAATTCCTGATCCAAAAAAAGCCCCTCTTTCTCCTTCCCTTTCCATCACTGCAACAGCATCCTTTTTGCTCAGCCTGATCAAACTCTGGAGCTATTTTAGCTGAAAGGGCCTAACAGAAGAACGCCCATAGAAATTTCCTCTCTACCATGTCATACACAATAACCCAAGTCGTGGAAGGTCATTTAGTAAATTAAAAAACAAGCTGGCAAGCTGGGCTATCATAAACTATATTATTTAGTCCTATATTTCCAGAGAAAAATTGAGCTTGAGCTATCTGAGCCAAAATCAACCAGAAAGGAACTCAAGCACATAAGACTTGATTCCATGTCTGTCCTTGATGGAAGATTCTCTACCACTGATGGTGGAAAGCCAGCCAAAGAAGGAGCACATGTTCTCATGTACAACCAACCTATTTCTCCTTTGGAAATATAGGACACCATACTTACATCATTCTCCTTTTCCTAATGAAAATAAATATACTTTAAATGAGATAAGCTATCACTGCTAGAAAAATATGTCCATAAAATGCATATTCCAATCTCATTCACCTTTTTTTTTTTAAATATTCTGGCTCAAGAAAACAGAACATAAATTCTTGGGTATAGAAAACCATTAATTTTAGATTAAAAAAATACAAACATCACCTTTAAACACCCCCCCCCCCAAACAATTTTTTGAATACACATGAAGCATTTTTTTTCTCTTTGTTTAATACCAAAAATAAAGAATTTTTATGTTTTCCAGCAAGGTTGTTCCAGGCCACAGTGATATTATACACTAGAGTAACAAGAAAAATTTTGTACATCTCACACCACTGAAACAGATGAGTTGGTTTCCCACAATAATATTTGTGGGTGACTTAAATACGTTAAAAAAAAGGTTTGGTTTTGTTTGACTTGCATATAACCTGAAGCTCGCATACCCACACTAAATCTTTTGTCAACATTCTTAAAATTATTCTCCACTTCTGTATCTTCAAGAAAACCCTCTTCCCAATACCTGCCAAGGAATTTGTGGAACCTCTGCACCCCATTGAGAATTCAGGTTTTATCTGAAGACACATCTTTGTCTTTCCCTCGGGCAGGGGTAGGCATGGAGTTGAAGTCCATGAGTCATAAAAGAGCCGAGGTTGCCTAACCCGCCCTAGGGGATAAGAATTAGCATTATTTGTCCAGTAATCTTCCTCACAGGAAGTTTTCTCATGATTTGGGGGCTCTGCTCTTGAGCCATGAAATTTAAGTAAATATAATCTACAGTAGGTGATCACCAGCCACCCCTTCTAGTTAACAGAACAGAATATAACAGAGTTGGAAGGGACCTTGGAGGTCATGTAGTCCAACCCCCTGCTCAAGCAGGAAACCCTATACCATTCCAGACAAATATTTGTCCAATCTCTTCTTAGAAGCCTCCAGTGTTGGAGCACCCACAACTTCTGGAGGCAACTTCCATTCCACTGGTAAATCGTTCTAACTTTTAGGAAATTTCCTAACAGTTCCTCCATCTCCTGTGGTATACTTTCTGAGAAAAGATGGCGGCCTTGAAGCCTATCCATCATCCATTGAAGCCTCTCCACCATGTTGCTAATTCGTCAGCAACTCTTTGAAGGGGAAGAGAAAGAAAAGAGAAAAAAAAACCACCAGTTTTAAATAATATATTGTGGAAAAAAGGAAGAGGCCGGGAAGAAAGGAAAAGGGTAGACAAAACCAAGAAACATTTAGAAAATTATGCATAGGTATACCATTTTTATTTTAATACATTTCATTAGTCTGCACCCCCACTAGGAGAAATAAAAACGCCATAGTCTTTGCATGATCCCATTTCATTGTCACTACAGCAGTCTCTTATATCGGATTATTGGTAAATCTAGTCCCCCCCACAAAAAAGAGAGAGATAATAAAATGCTAGGCAAAAGAATAAAAAGGAAAGCTCAATAACTTGATGGTGTAAAAAAAAAAAAAAACCAACCCAAAATAAAACAAAAAAAAACTTAAGGCGCCCGGATGGATTTTTTTTTTTAATAGACTTTTAAATCACCGCCAAGCCAAACAATACAATAAAATAAAAAATTTTTAAAAGCCCACTCTAGATTCTGCCCTGGGCATTTGATACATTCCTGCTCTTGGTGGTTGCCATTGTTGTCACCATTGTTGTTGTTGTTGTTGTTTGTGTGCGTGTGCCTCCAAAGTCCATCTGAATCTGTCCGTCAGCTTCCGGCCTTAGGCACATTCCTCCAGAAAAATAAATCTGACAAGAGGGGAATAAAATAAAAGCACCATTGACAGTTCTCAGGAAGTCTGCTGTCTGCTTAGAGTTCGTTATTCGTCCTCCTCTTTCTTCTTGTTCCTTTCACGTCGTCATCGTCTCTCAATTTCACGAATAGGGAAACGTCGTTATTATTTTTGCAGACTGCTACAATACTTGCTGCGATGTCATATTTAAACAACTATACATTTGTCCCTCGTGTTCTGGTGAAGTGTGTGTGCATGTCTCTGTGTCTGTGTGTGTGTGGTTGTGTGTTTTTCTCTCCCCCCCTCCCTTCTCTCTCTCTCTCTCCCGCTCTCTCTTTAAACCAGTTTGCCCCCTCCCCCCAGATAGGAAGATGAGTGAAGTGTTATCCAGAAAGCACCATACAGCGTAGGTTCAGGAATGTAACAAATCCTGTACATTCGAGTCCCAGAAAGAAATATTTTCTAGCTTATTTTCACCTGACATCTGTAAAAGAAAAAGAAAAAAAGAAAAAGACATCCGTAATTAAAGAATCGTTGAATCGAGTCATTATTTGCTGGAGATCGTAAATCAGGCTAAAGAGTACCAGCCTCGGATATAGATACCTTCCATCCAAGCAGGTCTCAAATCTCTAGAAAAAAAATAAAGAGATGAAGTTTCTATCCATCAATTCTGGGTCTGTCTTCCCCGTTTTCCATGCTCCAAATATAAGAGACTCATAAAGCTGGCAGCTTCATTCACCTGACTTGAGAATTAAAATCTGAAGACTATCGTAAGGTCGGAGGTCCACCTGATGTGGCAAAGAGAGGGGGTGCCTTTGGGGTGGATTTGAAATTTTGAGGCCATCTCATGAACTTCCTGTCATGAAGACCAAGTCACAAAAATGTTCCCAAATCAGAAGGTTACCTAGCACCCCAATGAGTCTTCTAGGAGACATTCAACAATGCCCATTTAATTATGCCCATATTTTAGGGAAATGGGCTCTCCTTGAGTAACACTCACTAGTCATCTTTATTTTTCGAATTAGGGATGCCTTGGTAACAACCATTTTTGGTAAACAATTACCTCTTCCCAAGACCGTAGTTTGATTCTGTGACAGGTCAGTTTCTTACCTAGCTTTCTTTTCGTTAAAGGAATGACTTTAAAACATGCAGCCAGCCACAAGTCAGCAAACTAGCCATTGCAAAAAATTTCCAACCCAAGAAAAATGGACATCCCTCTGTAAGGTCCTCAATTCCTTTGGAATCAACCATAATTACATATCAGCCCTGATTAGCCTCCATTATCAATCATTTTTAAAGCACCAGGGGTAGCATCTGCAGGGGTAGCTTTAAAGAGAGGAGAATGAGCTTAGCTTAGCCAATCATATTTGATTGCTGGATTGCTCCCGGCAACAGCCAATGCCCAAAATCTTAAAAAATGATCAGACACAGGAGGGGTGATAGTCAAATTTGTTTTTCTACTGGTGGTGATCTTAAAGGCAGTTTCCATATATGGGTCATACCTGGTCACGGACTCCATTTTAAGGAGGGTTTTAACTTTTTCCATCGTTTTTTACCTTTTTTCATATGTCTACCTGTTGACATAATGGCGGCATTGGTATATGTTACAAATAAGCCACAAAGGGCATGCATTTATGGAAGTAAAGGAATAAAATAAACGGTTCCCAGAGAAAAAACATTGCAATTAACTGAAGGTTTTTACAGAATAACCTGTTGATCCGAACCAGAGTTAAAAAGAACTGATGAGGTTCTTAGCTACTTGCTTAAGGTAGAAATTCAAATTAATGTATCCGATGAAGGAGAGCAGAACCACCTTTCTAAGTGGTTCACTGTTGGTCTGTTCTTGCTATTAGAAGGATTTTCTTAACATCCAGATAGAATTTTGAGGACTCTTAGAGCCAGAAATCCATGTTCTCCTTTGAGGACCATGGCAAACAACCACTGAGAGGACAACAAGCCCAAATTCTACCTTCTCATGACCAATTCCTTCATCTGTCCTTGAACAGTTTAATTTCCCACCCCTATCCATCTTTTTGGTGTCCACTCTGGTTTGTCTAAATTCTTCTCAAGAGGCCCAGAATTGGACACAAGACCTTTGGAAAAGACATATCCCCCACTCTAAGATTTATAACATGTAAATTTAAGCGATATGAACTATTTTCCACTGCTGTGGTTATCAGAGGCAGGTTTCTCATTTCCAGATATTTAATGCTCAAGACCCCTGGAGAACGTCAAAACACAGTTGTCATCCTCAACACCAACAATTTCACTCTCTTAGTCCACTCCTGCTTACCTGTTTCTTCTTCCCGAAAATCTGGATTGGAATTTGACATTATACAAGTGCATTCCATGTGCTCTTCTAACTTCACCAGAACTTCCTTTAATTTGGGTTTTCTTCTAACATATTCCACTTTGGCCACCTAAGAAGAAAATAATATTCAGGAACTTGTTAGCCAAACAGTAGCCAAGAACAAGATCTGGAGCACTTCTTTGGAGAAGAATTCTGTGGCTTAGTTTGTGGATTGTTCACGCTTTGCAGGGTAGTATCCCTAAACTCGCCGAGAAGCAAACAAAAATCTCCTTCTAATTAACCCTCATTATTTGGGGCAGAACTGTTCAACTCCAATACTCATTTCCTTTCCAAATCTGTGATAAAATAATCGCTGCTATGGGAAAACTGCCTCCAAAACGACGTCTTTGAAAGTGAGATTTAAGATTCAAAGCAAGGGGAAAAAAAGGGAAGCATAGCTTCATACGGTTGTTGTGTCACCACCAATAACCGCTTTCAGGGTTTAAGTGGAATTTTTCTAACTTGGACTTGGGATCTTGTAAAGCCTCTGTTTTACACCCCAAACTCTCCCTCACCCTTCTGTTACAAAGAACTTGTTGGCATAATCTTCTGGAAAAGGAAGGGATCATTCATCAGCCGGATATTGTCCAAGATAACTTGGCGGGCATTTATGATGTGAGTGGCATTCAGCCAATTTTTGCTCAGGTCTGACTTTGTCGCTTAGCACAATTTCCCTGGTTCAAGTGAAATTATTTTTAAAGAGTTCTTTGCAGCTGGAGGGACAGTATTTTGGCAAGGCAAGATATACTTGAATATGCTTTAAAAAAAAACTTTTAAAAAATGGCAAAGGGACCAACATTTACTGCCCTGAAACATGGACTTCTGTGACAGATGATTTACCAGCATTGGGTGGACGATATTTTGCAAATTAAAGAATTTATACACATGTTAATTGTCACACAAGTATTGGATTTGTAATTGCTTTTTTTTCTTAATGAAAACTGTAGGATCCATTTTCTCCTTACGCCAATAAGAAGTTTCATTCTTAGATCCGGTTTCATAGGCACCCAACCTCCCTTGAATCTATCCAAAGTCACATCTAATGTTACAAAATCCACCCTAAACCACTTTCAGCCAACTGCTCTAGATGCAAGGTTAACAGGCATAAATCAAAACTGAAAACTAAAGAGGAAAGCAAGTCTATTTCTTAGCTGACCCAGCTGGGTTGTGGATGTATTTACACATAAGCACACACTCTTTGTCAGCCTCACAAGGCAAGAAGCACACCCATAAGTATCAGCTCTAATTTTACTGTAAGGTTACAGGAAGAGATTCTTGCAAGTCTGAAAATATATCTCTCCCCCCACCTTTACAATCCAAGAAACTAGGGATAATTCCTTCTCAGATGTTTGCCAGCCAGCATGCCTGGCTGAGGAATTCTGGGAGTTGAAGTCCACAAGTCATAAAAGGGCCAAGTTTGAAGACCCCTGGTCTTTATCTATAGCTCTTTCTCCTGTCTCCCAAGGTGATTCTCACATACCATTACTGATTAGTCTGCCAGATTGGTGTATTGCAAGGTTCTGTTCATTCAACTTGGTAATAAAGACAGAGCTAATATTTCTGGGTGTGCTTCTTGTCTGGACTACTTTGAAGGGCTAATATCAATCTTGCACGTTTGAAAGAAAGAAAATATGAAATCCTTTTTCCCCCTCACCTTCACAGTCCAATAAACTAGGGAGGGTTCCTTCTCAGATGTTTGCCATGCCCATATTCCTTCTGTGGGCTCAGCTGCCTCTTATCTAATTATTGTCTATTTGCCGGCTACTTCTTCTCTCAAAGTCATACCTACATACACGATATTCCTGTTCATGTTCATAAATCATTATCAAATTGTACAATCCTGATGGCCAGGATGACTCCCACTCTGTTGAGGCAATATTTTTCCTAAACAACTCATCCTTGGCCTTGCAGAAAGAAGCTTGAGATGATTAACAAACCATTACCTCAAAAAGATAGATGGGAGAAGTAATTAAAAATCACCAACTCTAGCCATCTGAAAGAGAAGCAGCTTCCCTAGAACTCAAACTGGAAGTTCATCCAGATGTTTTGCAACTGTTGAGAAAGCAACTTCTCTAAGGGCATAAGTGCTTGCCCTTTTGATCACCAGAGAGACAAAGAGGCATGGTTAGAATGCTGTATTGCAGGTTAATTCTGCCCACTGCCAGGAGTTCAATCCTGAACAACTTAAGGTTGACTCAGCCTTTCATCCTTCTGAGGTCAGTAAAATGAGGACCCAGATTGTTGGGGGCAATCTGCTGACTCTGTAAACCACCTAGAGAGGGCTGTAAAAGCACTGTTAAGTGGTATATAAGTCTAAGTGCTATTGCTATATTTGAATCCCTTTCCAAACTGTTAATTTTGGGAGGACTGATTTGGTTAGAATGACTGACCTGTCCATCAAGCTTTGACACCCATAAACTTGCTTTCTCTGTCATAGTCAGACAAAATGAAAATAGAGAAGGAAAGGAATCTAGTGCCACTTTGAGTCATCTAACATCAAAGGATGACTAAGCTGTCTCATTTACAACAAAACACAGATCAAGACCTCGGTTAACAAAGATCTAGACAGAACCCCAGAGATGATACAACACTTTCACACCAGACAGTCTGATGTGAAATGTTAACACTTTCAGGTTATCATCAGATGTTCAGTGACAGTGAATCAACACCAAAGGTTGCAACACCAGAAATAAATTGCAATCCAATGAGGTTAGGATGCCTGCATTTGTTTTGCCCCACAAGGTTGACCATCTCTACACATGTAAAACCACTGACTATGCAATATTCTAAATATATTATAGGAAAACATGCTTGAACGACTGTCCAAAAAAGCAAACTGCAAAGAGCATTTAGTTTTGCATATTTAGTCTGCAAGCACCTCTTTCATGTCAAGTTAAATCCCCCCAGCAATTCTCTAGAAATTTTGGACCTGGCTTGGTTTACGATGCTCACAGTTTCCTGGTTGAATCTATAGTGAAGTCTGTTCCATGTGTTGGTTGTGAAATTAAGGCATTTTCATCAGGTCTTCTGACTGCTAGTTGGTGTTTATGGATGCGTCTTTTGCTTCTGTCCTACATAGTGCCCGTTACAGTCCTTACCCTTATGTTGTAGATGACTCCTCGTTTTTGAAGATGATTTGTGGTTGAGCTTGGTTGTTTTCTTGCAGATATTTCATTACCCAAACTAGGTAACATCATCAGTGCTAGAAGGGAGTAGAATATGTAGAGGAGGAGGAGGAGGAGGAGGAGGAGGAGGAGGAGGAGGAGGAGGAGGAGGAGGAGGGGTCCTTTGTGCAGTTTGGTGGTTTTCTTGCAGGAGTTTCATTAGCCAAACTTGGTAACATGCTAGAAGGGAGGGGGGTTTACTCTCTTTCTACATACAAGTGGCTTGTCTTGACATGGAGCATATAAACAGGAAGCAAACCCATCTCCCTTCTAACACTGATGATGGTACCCAGTTTGGTAATGAAATGTCTGCAAGAAAACAAGCAAGCTCAGATATCACTGAGGTTCCTACAGTCACTGTCCTCCTCCTCCCCCTCCTCCTCCCCCTCCTCTCCTTCCTCCGCCCCCCCCTGCAAACTCCACTCTCTTCTAGCACTGATGATGTTGCCCAGTTGGGTCGTGAAACATCTGTAAGAAAGCACCCAAGCTCAGAGAGCACCAAAGATCCCTCAGTCTTCCTCTTTCTTCCTTCTCCTCCTCCTCCTCTCTTCTCCTCAAACACCTCTCCCTTCTAGCACTGATGTTGTTACCCAGTTGGATTGCGAAACATCTGTAAGAAGGCACATAAGCTCAGAGGGCACCAAGGACTCCTGATTTCAACCCTGAGCTATGAATATTCTCCTTTATTGGTCCTAGTCTTTCTTTTGGGGCTGCTGAGTCTTTTGGTTTCCTTAGTCTTTTCCTTGTCTGTGCAATCATTTCTGAGAGGGCCTTCAGATGCTGACACGTTGCCTTCTTCTTCTTCCTAAGAAACTAGATCCCTCCCTCCTTACTAGTGAAGGGCCTTTTGGAATTGGCCCTTCCCTCCTTTTACAATGGTATTTTCTCGCTGGAAGACCAGAGCGGATTAACCACAGCACGAAGGGACTGACAGTCCATTGAACTCAGCCATTCCAAAAGGTTGGCAGAGGTCAGAGGGCCACAGGTTTGACATTCTGCTGGGGTTTAAATAGACAACACAAAGCCAGAGAAGCACAAAAGGAACAGCTGAGCAGCCCAGCTTGTTTGCCTAATGCATCTCGAGAAAGGACGGTTGGGTTACATTTTGGGGAGAAAGGAATTAGCTGATGGAGATGTTTGGAAAAGCAGAGGTATTTACAGCCTTCGTCTCTCCTCTCAAAAAAGCAGGACCAAAGACAGCGTTTGAATCCTATGCTGGATGGGGACATTGCAGAGGGATCCCGTTACTCAAAGACAATTGGATAAATAGAGAGGCGTCGTTAATGGAGCCACTGAGATCTTCACTGCCAAGATCTGTTTAATATAGAACTATTAGCTCCATCAGATGGAAGAGGAGTAGAAGAAAGAAGAGAAGAAAAAAGGGATAGAAAACAGGAGGAGGAGGAGAAAGAAGAAAGAGAAGAAATGGGGAACGGGAGGAAAGGAGAGAAGAAGAGAAGAAGAAGGGAAGTAGACGAAAGAAGAAAAGTAAGAGGAATAGGAAAGAGGAGGAGGAGCAGGAGGTGGTGGTGGTGATTCCCACCATTCTCCATTAGCAGTCTTCCAACATTTGAAGGACTTTCACAGAAAAGGGGCGAGGATATTCTCCACAGCACCTGAGAACAGGACAAGAACCAACGGGTGGAAGCTCATCAGAAGATGATCCAATCTGGAAATAAGGAGGAATTTCCTAACAGTGAGAACTAATAATCAATGGAACAGCTGGCCTCCTGGAATTGTGGGTGCTCCATTGATGGAGGTTTCCAAGAAAAGATTGGACAACCAGTTGTCCAGGATGGCATAAGGGCTCCTGCCTTGGATAGGGAGTTGGACTAGGAGACCTCTAAGGTCTCTTTCAGCCCTAGGATTCTAGGATTCCATCAAACTAGGTTGCCACCATCCTCCATCATAGCTATGCCTTGGATTAGGGGTGCGGTATCGCCTTTATATTCCCTATCCTTGAATTAATGTGGTCCGACATCACTAGTTGGACCACCATCAACACGTCAGAGTTACAAGTACTTTTATTTCAAGGAAGGTGACCATGAAAGCCCACTGGCCTCCCTAGAAAGGAGAAGCGAATGTAAGAAGAATTTGGATGAATCATTAAGTCTAGTATTTATTCGGAAGTTCCAGAGGAGGGCAGGGGAGAGGCTCAAAGCCCAAGTAACAAAACCGAAGAAAAACAGATCCTAAAAATAACACCAAAAGCCGCAACCACTAATTGCCCACTTAAAATCTTAGGAGAATAAAAAGCATTTCCATTTGACTGGTCCCACAAAAGGCTGCACCGATTGAGACAAGCAATGGATCGGCATATCGGTCCAGGTTTGGAAGAATTGTGTTAATCGTTTTTTTTTTTTAATCTAGATTGGTTTTTCACACTAATTAACCAGTTCCCAATCCTGCCCAAATCTATATTTCTCAGACTTTTGCATTCTCCTGGTCCCAGAGAGAAAAAGAACAATTCTTCTATTCCTCTTCTTCCTATTACTCCCTCTTTGTCTCACTCTTCCTCCTCCTCCTCCTCTTCTTCTTCTTCTTCTTCCTCCTCCTTCCTTCCTCCTTGCCCTCCTCCTCCTCCTCCTCTTCTTCTTCTTCTTCTTCTTCTTCTTCTCCTTCTCCTTCTCCTTCTTCTTCTTCTTCTCCTTCTCCTTCTCCTTCCTTTTCTTTTTCCTTCCTTCCTTCCTTCCTTCCTTCCTTCCTTCCTTCCTTCCTTCCTTCCTCCTCATCCTTCTCCTCCTCCTCCATCTGATGGAATAAACCTAAAGGCTCCCTAAGTCACTGGAAGTACACTGAGGACTGACAATCCCCATCTTGTCAATAAAACAAAACTAAGAAACAGAGGGCTTTCCGCTAAAAAATTAAATAAGTAAAAGGGTCCTAACATAAACTTGACACTGTGAAAAGAGAACAAGGGAAGCTTTTAACTCTCTTCTGGGAATAGGCAAAAGCAAAATCTTGACCACTTTCTGCATGACCCCCAAAAGAGAATCTTCAGGGATTATGGGACACAGGGCCCATTCATCCCCCAAACACTGGAATTCCAAAGGGCAGTTAATTATATCAAAGATGAGGGGGAAAATGAGAGATAGAGCCTAAGTCACTGAAGAAAGAAACTTGGGATTTTCTATTGGAAGCTCCTAGTGTGACAAAAAGGTCACCGCTCTGACAAAAAACACACCGCTCCCATCTAACTTCTCCTTTTTTAATTAACATTAAGAAAAGGGAGGATTTTTCTCAAGACCTTTGCGCATGGTATTGTTATTTTTTTTTTCAGGCGTGACTTAGAGTAAACGGAGATCCATTCTCATAGACAGAGCAGAAGTTTGCTTCCCAAAATATAGCTCGGAGAAGACATCCAAGGATTCTTTTCTTAGAAACCACCCTTTCCCCTCTTATTATGAACAGAAATCAGGGATCCACAGAAAACCGGACAAGCCAAGAATGCGAGAAGGTGCTTTATAGCAGGGGTCTTCAAACTTGGCCCTTTTATGACTTGTGGACTTCAACTCCCAGAATTCCTCAGCCGGGCATGCGTGGAATTCTGGGAGTTGAAGTCCACAAGTCATAAAAGGGCCAAGTTTGAAGACCCCTGCATTTATCTGGCCCAGCATGATCAGCCATGAATAGTAGACATTCTTGAGAGTTTCAGACTCATCTCCCAGCCCCTTCTGAAGACCCCAGGATGGACCGTGGAATCCTTTGCCTGCAAAACATGTACTTAGCTATTTTCTAAAGAGCTATTTGCAACCGTAAAGCAAAAGGTCTCCAAAATTGTCCTACCGTTGCTACAGTGTCAGAGAAATCTGCTGTTCAAAGCGGGAGGGGGAAGAAAAACATCTAAATTCCCTTTGGATCTTCTCAAGATCTCCAACCAGCTTGGTTAAAAACGGCCCTTCCCCTTTACACCTCTCCTCTTTAAAGCTAGAAGTGTCTGGGAATGCTTAGACAGACCGAGACACAGAAGCTGCCAATCAATTAATTGGTGGGGGTGGCTTTTTTCAGCCTCTGCTATTCAGACTGAGTGGAGGAGAAGCTCAGGCAGAGCGCAGGGAGGAGTCAAGCAAGGAATCACCCTGGAATCATTAGGTTGACACAAGCTGTCTCTAAGTCCAATTCCTCTTGAATTCCGTTAACTCTTCTCTAGTATCCATTTAGTGCTGATTAGATTCTTGGGTATAGGCATGAACAATAAATCAGCTTAACTGGATACTCAACGCAGTTAGTCCTCAGCTTACAACAGTTCGTTTAGTGACCGTTCCAAGTTACAACGGCACTGAAAAAGTGACTTGTGGCCGTTTTTTCACATTTACGACTATCGCAGCATCTCCACAGTCACATGATCCAAATTCAGACACTTAACAACTGACTCCTATTTGCGACGGTCTCAGCATCCCGGGGTCATGTGACCCTCTTTTGTGACCTTCTGACAAGCAAAGTCCATGGGGGAAGCTGGGCCCACTGAAGAACCATGTGACTAATTTAACAACTGCAGGGATTCACTACGGCAAGAAAAGTCATAAAATGCAGCAAAATTCACTTGGTTGTCTCGCTTAAGAACAGAACTGTTGGGCTCAATTGTGATCGTGTGTTGAGGACTATCTGTGTAACCCAGGGGTAGGCAACCTTGGCTCTTTTATGACTCGTGGACTTCAACTCCCAGAATTCCTGAGCCAGCATGGGGGAACTTTGGCCCCCTCATGACTCGTGGACTTCAACTCCCAGAATTCCTGAGCCAGCCACACTGAGGTTTCCAAGCTGAGCCATGCTGGCTCAGGAATTCTGGGAGTTGAAGTCCACGAGTCATAAAAGAGCCAAGGTGGCCTACCCCTGGTATAGCCTATCAGGAATTATTATAATCTCTCAGGAATGTTTTGACTGTAAATACAGGTAGTTCTCGAGTTACAATCATTCGTTTCGCGACCATTCAAACTTACAACAGTACGGAGAGAAGCGCCTTACAACCAGTCCTTGCACTTACAACAGTTGTAGCATTTCCCCAGGATCACATGATCAAAATCCTTTTCTCTAAGAAAGTTTAGCCTCACACAGAGTGATGCCATCCATTTTTTAAATCCCACTTCTGGCATATTTCCCCCCCCCCCCGATCCTGATCCCTGATCCAAAGTGTGATATTTCCCCAATCCAAAGACCAATTTAGCCTAGATAATATTTAATTCAGGAAAGCTGGCTGAGCAGGGATTTTATTTTATTTATTTTTAACATTCAAGATGTCCCCTAAGTCATGTTATCATTTCACAACAAGGCTGTGGGAGTCTGTAAGAAGAACTTAGTCAGGCATCTTCTCGTGCTGTTTAACCTTCCTACGCATCCAGGGTTATAACTAACTCCAGGAGGTGCAAAGCACCACCTTAAACACACATAACATACACAGGGATGCGTGCACAATTAATCTGCACAACCTAATTCTTCACTTATTCCCAGAAACGACCATCAGAAAGGGGTTGAGCCTTCTTCAGGCTGCTGTCCAAATACTTTTATTTGAATTCCACCCGGAAAAATGACAGCGGCAGCTGGGTCCCTACCCAAAGGAACTGCCATGAAAGGAAAGCAAAGATTCTCGAAAAGAATTTGTAATGCGGTTGACCTCAAGGAAGTAAACTCGAGTACACAATAGCTACCTTATCTCGTTCCCAGGTTGTGTGTTTAAGGTGTTTCCTGTTTAGCCTTCTGCTTGAGTTCACCCATTGAAAGGGCTAGCACAGAAAAGGAGAACGCGCATGGGTTATGAAGCCATGGCACCCAGAAACCAGGGCTGGGGGGGAGGACCCCCAAAAGATTGCACCCCAGCAAAAGTTGCCTGCAAATTGCCATTTTTTAAAAAAAACACGTCAGATGGAACAATTGCATTTGTGGGTTGAAAAGGTGCGGTTTCACTGGGGTTCAATGGAGTGATAGGTCACTCAGCTGCGGTCAGACAGGAGAGCAACCAAATCCACTTATGAAAGGTCTAAGTCAGCAACTTCATTGTTGTTCTACCTATATTACAAGAATCTTCCCTGACTGCTTGCCTTTCCCTGGAAACAACCAGATAAGGTTTCTTGGTTGTGGATGGTTCTCCAAGCTTGTTTCAATATCATTTCTGAACATTTCATTACCAAACTAGGTATCTTCATTAGCAGGGTTTACTTGTCCTATTCTCCTTAGCTTATAAATGTCTTGTGTGCCAGTGGGGTCAGCTGGCCGTGCGATTGGTTGTTTGTTTGGAGCTACATTTGAATTCTGGGCAGCTGATTGGTTCTCTTGTTGATTGGCAGTTCGAATGTTCGAACGAGATAAGGTTTCCTGGAACTTGGAGGGGAGAATCAGGCTTATGCTTCTTGCAGCTGTGCAAGGATTCAAAGCTAGTTCCCTGCTTGACCCCCTCCTTCCTGCCTAGCTGGGAGTTTCCTAACAACTGCCCAGGTTGAAAATGTGAAGAGTTTGCTATCCTGGATGGGGTTCAGGTTACGGTTTGGATGAGAGCAAGCTCAGACAGGGGATACTCAGCCCCTACCAAGATGGCCTTCTACTTCCCCTCACCTTGACATTTCTGTGGTGTATCCGCGAGGGTTGGCACTTCACACTGCTGGTGTTGCAGCATCCAGTGCATCGCTTCACTTCCACGCAGGGAGGCCATATCAGAAAGTTTGCCGAAGTCGGATCGATTTGGCTCCGAGGAATCTCATAAATGACCGTCCGCGTCTTGCAGACTGCAGGAATGGCTTCCTCTGTAGAAAAAAATGAGAAACATGATAGAAAGGTGCAGCTGGGGACTCAAGACTAGAGCACTTGCTTTGCATACAGAACACCTTGGGTTCGATCCTGCCATCTCTGGGTTCATTTGCCCCCAAAACTGGCAAGAGTGCTCGAAGAAAGACAGGGAAAATTCAGACAATCAGATAACTATTTGGTACTGAGTGCCCATGTTCCTATTTTATCGATTTGTCCCAGGTACAAAGAATCAGGAGTTGCAGCTCACAATATTTATTGCTCGTGCAAGAATCTGATCAACTACAGTTCAACACCAAATTGGCACCAAATAAAGGTCAACTGAATTCAAGAGGTGATTGGAATTGGATCACTTGTGGCAACATAAGGACTCTCGGCTAATGATTTGTTTAACTCCACCCCCCAGCTCTGCCTGTTCTTCTCTTACATTTGATTCAGGAAACTTAGGTCCTGTTCCATCCCTCCATAGTTTTAGCATGCTTCACAAAGTACGGTAAGAATAATATCCCAACTTGTATGAATAGCAGTGAAAGGTCTGGAAATATATATATTTATAGTAATTTCCCTTCGTATTACAGCCAACTACTACTCTGTTACTTTCTGTTACTCCTTTTTTTTCCAACTATGATGGCCATTTATTCCTTGAGATGAGATCCTCATCATACTTATTCCTGTATATTTTGGCAGTGAATGTATTTGACATAAATAGGTGGCTGAATCAGTTCCTAAAATCGTGGAAGATGTTGGCTTTGGGCTGGAAAGAACCAAATTCAAGTTTCCGCTTGATCATCAAAGATGCTCTCACTCAGTCCAGTTCATCCCATAGGATTGTTTTGAAGGTAAACCTAGAGGACAATCTAATGGATGTTCTAGGGCTCTACAGAAGAAGGAAGGTATATAAAGGCTACTCCTTTTCCTTCTCTTAATCATCTAATAAAATAACAGAGTTGGAAGGGACCTTGGAGGTCATCTAGTCCAACCCCCTGCTCAGGAAGGAAAACTTATACCATTTCAGATAAATGGTTGTCCAGTCTCTTCTTAAAAACTTCCAGTGTTGGAGCATTCACAACTTCTGGAGGCAGGTTGTTCCACTGGTTGATTGTTCTCACTGTAAGGAAATTTCTCCTTAGTTCTAGGTTGCTTCTCTCCTTGGTTAGTTTCCATCCATTGCTTCTTGTCCTGCCTTCAGGTGCTTTGGAGAATAGCTTGAGTCCCTCTTCTTTGGGGCAGCCCCTGAGATATTGGAACACTGCTATCCTGTCACCCCTCACCCTTCTTTTCATTAAATTAGATCTATTCTCTTTCTCCTCGTAAGGTCGTAATATTGGATGAGACTCCCTCAACAATTGCCTTGTTTAGCAATGGACATCCTGGTCCAATTGTGGTTGAAAGTTGAGGACTGCTTGTAGTATCTAGACCATCTCAACATTCTACTTGAGAAGAAGGCAAGCACAGAACCAAGGCAGAGGTCCAACAGGTAGGCTCCCCAAAGGATGAAGAATTATGGAGCACACTCTGTTCTTAGAGGGAGCTGAGATCCCAACACATCTAACCCAGAGAAGCAGAAAAAAGTGAGCCAGGAGTTACACAAAAAATCAGCAAACAATCTCTCTTGCAAGAGGCAAGTCTTGTTATTTCATTCAGTTTTTAGAGAACCCCAGTTAGTTGCAAATCAGTGAACTAAAACAACTATCAAGCACCACATTCCCTCACTCAGATTTCACCAGGAGCGTGCAGGAACACGAAAACTGAATGTCAGGCATTTTTTCAGCATATTATAACCCTGGAAGATGACCGAGCTATTTGGGGGGGGGGGGACACAATGGCATGTAATCTCTTTTCTGTTTATTTGCAAAATATTTTCCTCTATTTTAGGCTTTTTTTAATTATTATTTCAATTCGACGCCAGCCACAAAGTCCTTCCAGAGATTATTCCCTGCCGTGGTGCATTTAAAAAAAAAAAAAATCTCAATTCTTACCAACACTTCTTTTTCTGCGAATAGATCTAGGGTGGTTTTCTTGCAACAGCTTAGCTGAGTGGATCGGGTGGGAGATCAGATTTGTTTCTGCTGCATCGTCATAGCCTAAGAAATGGAGGGGAAAAAACAGACGCCAAACTTTCAGGATTTCAGATTAAAGATTGCTTTCTTTGGTTACTCAAAAAAAGTGACATTTAACCAACATTCAATTCTTTAGCCAGCTTTTTTTTTTCCCTACGGGGAATCAACATTTTGATTTCCTGGTTCTTTCTTCCAGGACCATGAATGGTGACTCAAACCCAGCATTAGGAATTCTTTTTTATTATTAATTATTCTGGAAATGGTTGCTTTTCGGATTCGGCCATTCAAAAATTTCATATTATTATTTACAGTGCCAGGAGATTTGTCGCGACACTAAAAGCAGCCACATTTTTCAAGTAAAGCTAAGATGGTCCTCTGTAGACCCTTGGGTATGGCTCTGCTGCATTTGGATACGTTCTTGATGAGCTTCCAAAATGAAAAGATCTTTGGAGACTCTTGTGAACATGATTTTTTCCCCTTCCAGCAGTCTATCCAAAAGGAGAAGGAGGAGAAGTCATTGAGAAGTGGGGAGAACTGTAGCCAGAAGAATGGATACTGGAAAAAAATTCATCAGTCCCACATCATGAATGATCCTTCTCTGTCATACCCAATTCCCACCTTTTTCATTCAGGTGGTCTCCCAAAAAAAGAAGAAGGCCAGATCTAAGCTCTAAGAACTATACGCAATATCAACTAGATGGTGAGAAAGCCGCCTTCTTCCTCAAATCAAAAATTTCGCCCCTCTTGTTTGTGAGAAGCTCTTCCAGTCTGCTGCAAATTCAAGACTCTCTCTTATATGGCCACGAATTTTGCCCCTCTTATTTGTAAGTTCTTCCACCCTGATATACCAACCCAGTACACCAAAGTTTTGGAGCCAATACAGTTGAGTTCATACAGCTACTCTTCCATTCAACAGGCCCTGATGTTTACAAAAAAAAAAACATCTGGCAGCAAGTTTTGAAGACTATTTAAGAGGTGAGGTCTTCTGCAAACCTGGCTCACAGATTTATCTTCCATGCAAGTAAGTATCTGGAAGGGAGGACTTTGAAGCTGTCTCCCAAGATAAACCAGTCTGAAAATGTTTGGGAGTCAAGTAACAATCAGACTTGTTTGGACAGGAATGTTCGACAAAAGTATTTGCATTCACTTCCCTGTGCAGTCTAATTTGATGGCACTGTATGAAACCATTTCAGAACGTTCTTGTGTTTTATCAGAGATGTCAGGTTTTTGTTATCACTTTTGGCTTTGGCGCAGATGATCTTAAAGGAAGATTAGGATCTTGATCTCTTGCTCACTCACTCGCTCGCTCACACATACACAAGTGCAGACACAATGGGAAGAAGGTATTGGGTTCACTAAAGAGTCAGAATTTCTATCCATACCATGAGGTAGAGGGAATCGTCCTCATTTTGAATGAATGCTTGTTTATTTTTTTTATTTTGATTCCTATAACTAATTGGGGGGAGAGGGGGGGAGGGAGGGAGGGAGGGAGGGAGGGAGGGAGAGAGAGAGAGAGAGAGAGAGAGAGAGAGAGAGAGAGAGAGAGAGAGAAAGAGACCTAAGGTCATCCAATCAGCTTTAATGCCCAAGGTGGGACTAGAACTCACCTTCTCCTGGTGGTTGGCCCAAAGTCACCCAACTGCCTTTCATGAATAGGCGGAACTAGAACTCACAGTCTCCTAGTAATTGGTTCAAAGTCACCCAGCTGGCTTTCATGGCTAAGGCAGGACTAGAACTCCCAGTCTGCTGGTAATGGGTCCAAAGTCACCCAATTGGCTTTCATGAATAGGCTCAACTAGAACTCACAGTCTCCTGGTAATTGGTTCAAAGTCACCCAACTGGCTTTTATGCCTAAAGCAGGACTAGAATTCACCATCTCCTGGTGATTGGCCCAGGACGCAAATGCCAGAGGGACAAAAAAAAAAAATCAAAATGGTGGCTGCCAATGGCCCATTTTTCACTTACCCTAAACTCCCAATAACTATTTTTAGGCACAAGGGAATCATTTCTGCCAATCCAGCAACCCTATACTGGTAACTTTACTTCAGTTATTATGGAGAATGGAAGACCAAGATGAAAAGATCCATCATTTGGTCAACTCTTAAAATGTATTGTGCTTTTCAGCGGTAGGCTAGCTTCCAAATTCTTGGCTTACTGTAAGTTATCTGCAGCTTAACTCTCAAAGTTGAGGGGGGGGGTTGATGCAGAATCCTTTTTTTCTCACTCTTCATCCATAGGACACTCTTTATTCCCAAGCCTGCCCCCTCCAGAGTCCCACTAAATAATCTTCTCATGCCGAGGAAATCTGACATTCATCTGCACAAAATGCAGGCATGTTACACATACTCGTGGGATCGTAGAAATACAGTGGCCTTCCCTCACCTAAGATGCCTCAGAGGTTGGGGTGCCAACTGAGAATGGTAGTTTCCTAATATATTCGGATAATAGAGCGTTGGGAGAAGGCACACCAAAAGATCATTTGAGAAGTGAAATGGGTTCGATCAACAGAGAAAAGGAAGGGATGACAGATAAATAAGCAACACAAATGTCCTTGGCAAACTATTTCAATGGAACATGTAGTCAGGTTTAGAAGTCAGGTATGGTCGGGTCCAATTAAAGGCTTGAAAAGAGAATGTCCATGAGATTAAAGAAGGAAATGTGTCCTCAAATAACTTTGGACATCTCCTAGAGGGACATGACTGTTGCAGAAACCAACAACAAGTAGTTAATTTTTATTATATGATAATAGTTGGCACAGTTTCTGCCTTTAATATTCTTTTCAGAAGACTTTATGAGGCAGGTGAGGCTGACTGCACACTCCCATTACCACAACTTCTCCCCTGAATTCCTCAAAAGCAGGTTAAGCCAAATAGTGGTTGCTTTCATTTGCATTGATCCCGTTGTTTGGTGGAACCTCAAGAGTTGAACTTCTAGGGTGGCAGAAGAGTCAGATGGTGGGGTGAAGCCAAGAGTTTCAGCCAAGGAGCTAGCCACAAACTCTTCACAACCTGAACAAAATCCCCAGCTCTTATGTGGTATCAGATAGACCACAATTGATATGTACCTCCAGAACACAGATGGTATTATAAGCCTAGATGAATCTACATCTGATTCTGTCCTGGTGCAAAAACTTGCATGAAGTGCCCTATAAGACACCACCACCCTCATACCAAGATCCTAATCTGGTGTTCCAAACCAGCCTTCTCCAAAGCAATTGCCTTGATCTGCAGGTTCCAGAATTATAAGAGTTGGTGTTGATACATCTGGAAAGCATCCCAGTTGCTTTAAATACTACAACACGCTTAGGAGACGTTGGAAGGAAAATCAATGATCAAAATATGGACCTGGAGAGTCCATAGCTCCATGACAGAGCATCTATTTTAAATTGACCACGTTCAATTCTTGACCATTATTCAGCCTGGAGAAATTCCTACCTAAAATTCAAGAGAACCTATGTCAGGTAGTGTTGACACTAATGTGCTGGATAAACCAAGAACGACTTGGCGTTTCATGTTTCTTTGAGTCTCATCAACGAACATAAACCAAATCATCTCTCCGGTTGACCCTGGATGAACTTGGGACCTTCAAATAAATCTTAAAAATACTCTGCAATTCAGTTTATTTCTGATACAGAGAAAGAAAGTAAGCCAAGCACATACAAAGAATTCCTATTTGGACATCCTGCTTATGGTCCTCTTCAAATTTGGAGAATAGAATAGAATAGAATAGAATAGAATAGAATAGAATAGAATAGAATAGAATAGAATAGAATAGAATAGAATAGAATAGAATAGAATAAGGAGGGATGGTAGCTTGCTTGCTGGCTAGTTGCTGCAGAAGAATAGAATAGAATTACAGAATAACAATGAAAAAATGGAAGAAAATAGGATCATAGGACTGGACAGCCCCCTACTCAGGCAGGAAACCCTATATCATGTCAGACAACAGTTGTCCAATCTCTTCTTTAAAACTTCACAATTTCTGGAGGCAAATTGTTCCACTGATGAATTGTTCTAACTGTCATTTATTGTCCACTTTCATGCTGATCTTTCTAGTCACAAAAAAAAGAGAGAGAGAAAAGGTGAAGTGGGTGGTGATGAAGCCAAGCTTCTCCATAGATGCTGACCTGTCCTTCTAATAGACCCCAGACAAGGTCTGAGAAAGAGCTGGACAGTGCCTTGAATATTATCAAGACAAGCCCTCTGCTGATGCAAAAGTAATAAAACCAACATTACTACAGCATTCACAACAGGTGGCAGATTCTGAAAGCGATAGACAGAAAAAGTCCTCCCTCCTTTGAGGCAATTACTATTATGAACGGCGTGTACCACCAGGAGATTCTACCAAAAATCCAGGCCAAATTCTCCTTTTTCTTAAAATATGGACCCCATTGGTTTAATTCTTAGTCTCTACAGAAAAAAAATAGCCCCCTCCCTTTGATCTAGCTTGCAAACCTGGGTCTTCATTAGATCTTCTCTGAGTTAAACATCCTAGCTTTGTCTGGCTTTCCATGACCATCTCAAGTCAGTCAATCGCTATTTATCCCCAATAAAATTCACAATTTAAATGCTCTATGGTTTCTTTTTTTCTTCTTCTTCTTCTTCTTCAATCTCTCACCCCAGATTGGATCATGAAACTAAAATGATAAGAGAACAAGTCACGTACAGAGTCTTGGGAGAAATGTACAACGATCAGTGGAAGAAATAAATAAGAGAGTCGTCTTTCAAAGCCGGTAAAATCTCCCCTCAAAAATGTGGAGATCCACAGCCGGAGGGCCTAGACTTATGATGTTTAATTACCGCCATTTAATACATACTATCTTCTTGAAAGACTTAAAAAATACACACGATGATTGCACCTTTCCGTCAGCACTGTGACAATGCAGCCTCTATTCATAATTTTTTTTCCCCCTTTCTGTTTTTTTTCAAAAGCCGGGAACAAAATGAGAACACGCCACAACCTGTTGGATTGGCTTTCTCTGTCTCTCGCTTTGCAGAGAACAAACTCTTTGCAGAGAATGGCAAG